CTTTCCACCGAACACAACTTAAGTGTTTTGGTAGGACTACATCACGTTTTAACTGAAAATTTAGCATCAGAATTGAAACATGCTTTAAGTTTAAAATATATACCGGATTTCTGAAGACTTTAAAAAAGTGTGTGTGTATATAATATATATATACACACACACACTCTGTTTTTAGAGAAAATATCAATAGATTTTGTTGAGATTGAAAAATGCTTAAATAATATTTTAGATGTATTGGGTCAAATAAAACATTTGATCTCATCTGCTCTTTTTACTCTCTTAAATGTGGCTAGGGCTTCCCTGGTGGCGCAGTGGTTGGGGGTCCGCCTGCCGATGCAGGGGGCGCGGGTTCCTGCCCCGGTCCGGGAGGATCCCACGTGCTGCGGAGAGGCTGGGCCCGTGAGCCGTGGCCGCTGGGCCTGCGCGTCCAGAGCCTGTGCTCCGCGGCGGAAGAGGCCGCAGCAGTGAGAGGCCCGCGTAAAAAAAAAAATGTGGCTAGTAGGAAGTCAAGATTACATATATGGATATTATTTCTACTGGACAGCACTGCTCTAAGACTAACTCCAAATACGGTGTCTCATCCCAACGAAAATGCCTGGTACACGCTGGAACCTAGGAAAGCAATGCATGCTGAGCCTCACCTGTGGCAAGAAAATGCTCTATATATCGTAAAGCAAAGAGCTTTACAGACACAAAGGGTATCAGTGCTTCCTGCCAAAACACGGTCCTATCCATTAATTACTTTACTCATCTTCATGTAAACCTGGTGAATCAGGTGTTAACCTTTCCGAGCTTAAGTTTTCTTAACGATAAAAGGTGGATTAGTGACTGCCATTTCCCAACTCTTTGGCCCTGAAGTCAGTTTCTGCCCCTCCCCTATTCTAGTCACACTATAGCCAGCCCTGAAGTCCAGGCCGATACAAATCCCCCTTCAGGCTTCTGCTGCCTTCTCTGATTGCTACTCCCCTAAATAACCAGCCAAAGGTGACAAGTTGTTAGACTAGATCTATAGGATTAGAGGATGACTCAACTCAACTCAGATACTAAATAAGCCAAATTGGTGAATTTCAGCAATTCCTATCATCTCCTCTTTATCTTTTCCTTAGGGTTTGCCAATATTCAACTGAAGTCTAAGGTCTTCTTTTTTGGACTCCTTGGGTGCTGGGAATGAGACGAGGGACTGGACGCCCCTCTCCAAATATCCTCATACTCTTTCTTCCAAAATATGTGTGGAATCAGATTTAAATAATCAATGGTGTTTGGATAGACGGCATCAGCCATGCAATTACACTCGAATGGCCCAGCAGGCTGACGGACTACTTGGAAACTCTTCCACCCAAGCCCCACTTAGTTGAGAGGCTACACATGGAGGGCAGGACCCACACACATTCTCTGATGACACTGACCATGGCATGAAAATTGCCACTGCTGCCCAAACCAGCATCTCTTGTGAATGTAAGCCAAAGCAAAACAAAGTTACCTGGCCTCATTTCAGGGTATGCTTAGTTAACCAGCAGTGCATCAAATTCAAAATAATATACCTTTATGGAATTCAAAGCGCCTGTATTATGTAGAATGATGCCTTTATGTGGTTCAGAAATATATCACACAAGACAGGCTGTGTAATTAACAGCCAACTTGCTTAACGTTTGAAATGAAAGAACAGAGAAAATTTTATAGTTGCTTTATTTAACAAAATGTATGCCAACTTCTCTATCTATATACATACGTGTTTCAAAATCAGAGCAGCAGACACACAAACTGTTAATGCAGGACTTTTTAATAATGCTTAAAACATGTTAGGCAATGTTTTGTTTTCTGCTCATACTGACGTTAACAGATTCAAAAATTATTCCAAAGGCTGAGTGGCATCACGTCTTCATTTTCTGGGGTGGCTTAAGAAAGAGGGATGGAACTTTTGAGGGTTAATACATTGTGTTCAGTTTAGCTCAACCAAGAGCACTTGGCCCATGAGAGGGGCTCACAAAGTGTTTTGGACTGGGGATAAAAACTTGAGTAAAATAGAATCTATTTTGAGTATACTTTAAAAAAAAAAATTCACTGTCATATCATAAATATAACAATGTTGTCTCATTTCTGATCCCCCAAAGAAAACCTATTTTAAAAAATAAGTTAGAAATGATTTTAGTAGTAAGTACTATGAGTAACATTTACTGAGTAGAGACCCTTCAAAATCAAGGTAAGAAAGAGTAGACGAATACTCAACACAGTTCTGCCCCTACCTTCTCCAATTTTGTTCGTTTCATGACATTAAGCTACATGTTAACAAGCTAGTTTCTAAAGTTCTTTATATAGGGAAGACAGCCATTTTTTGCTTTCTCATTTTTCTTTTTTTTATGACTTCCAGGAGCCCTCTGAATTCCTTAGAAAGTACTATAGTTCTGGAAATCTCAAAAAGCCTAGCTACATATTCTACTCACAAAATTTTGCTCTGTAAAGTACATAAGCTGAGTTTTAGGTAATACTTGAAAAACAGTTGATGCTGCAAAGTGTAAATGTTTCATGTTGACACTTAACACTCTGACCTGATTCATGGTTCTCTTTCCTGAAAGGACATGGTCTAGCCTTTCAGGAAAGATGCTACTAAGCAGTGAGGTATAGAAGGAGAAAAATAATAAAGCACAGCCGTTTCTTCGCCTCTCAACACCTTAAGAGCCTTCTTTCATGATGGGGGCTGGGGTGGGGAGTGAATAGCAGATCTATGCATGGATAAAACTTAAGAATGCTCTCCTTTATGTACTGAAACGGTACACACAATCCATTTCCCAAAAAGCACCAACTAGAAATGCACCGGGACTAAATACTGTACTGTAATGATCCACCAGGGTTTCTACTGCCATTTGCTCATATAAATCAGACCCATCACTTACCGTGCTTTCATTTTCTGAAAATGAGACCAGACCATTATAAAAGTGTACTTCCAAAATAAATTATTTCTAGAATATAAAATGTTTTCTATTTTTCCAGCCCACATAACTTCATTATAAAATAGGAAATCAGAAAATTAGCTACTGCAAGTTTTCATATGGTAAAAAATATGTGTACACATATATACACATATAAAAAAACCCAAGTTTTAAATTTCAATAAAAACTACCCAATTAATCAACGTAATGATTATGTATTAAACTATACACAAGCCATGTTGAATATCTGTAATGAGAACCAACTACAAAGAATTACAATCTGATGTATCAGAGGATAATCTAAGACTTTCCCATGTGGAAAGAAAAATCAGGAAGTCTCTTAACTGACTCCCCAACCCAACAGAAATCTCACTCATCCCTTTCTCAGATGTAACAGCCCCCAGTTTCATTCGCTGCCCTCAATTCCCTAAGGAAGGAGTCTTTAAAAGGGAGGAAAACACGTGAGTGAGTTGGGGCTGCCTTGTGGCTGTGCTGTGTGTGCTCTGCGTTATGGTCGGTTCCCCGCTGGGTGGGCAAGGGAGGACTAGAATCCAGCCTGAGCTGCTTTTGCCAAGCCATCCATCTGCCCGAGCAGCCGCAATGGTGCAGAGGGTGGGCTTTTTTCTAGTGCACACAAAGGTGCTGTGGAGACCGGCACCAGTCCTGCCTCCTGCTGGTGGAGGGGTAGCTGGAGTGTTCTCGGAGCTGCTTCCCAGGGAAGGTGAGCAACAGGGAAAGCCTGACTGTGGCTGAGATAAATCAGAAGCAGGTTGTTAGCACTGATGAAAACCAGGGACAGTGTTCCTATAAGCTTAACAGAGGTGGTGGGAGGTGTTCATTTTGTTGATTCTTGCCTGTTTTTACTATTTTCATCAGGGAAAACCTTAAGGGGCCTCAAGCAAGGGAAAGGGACAGGCGAGCAGGGAAGCTATCTCATTTCACAGGAGGGCTTGTTCAGAAAACCCACCAAGGGAGAGCAGGATAAGACCTGGCAGGGGTGGGGGACAGTGTCTGTGATCCACTGGTGATGGAGGAAGAAAGAAAACAGTGTGCAGGTTCCACCCGTGGTCTGTGATGAGTTCCCAAATGAAAACTGATAGTTTCATTAAAGCTACAACTTTCGTCACAATCCTATCTATCTTGATTTGTCTCCCCAAACTTTATCTCTGTTGAAAGATGCCTGTTCATTCACATTTTAAATTGATGACTTACTTGACTTTTGTGAGAGTGGTAAGGGCAAACAGGAGATAATTTTAGATATTCTCCCTCTGTGACCCTTTCTTCTCCTTTTTTTTCACCCCCAAAAGGCACATTCCCTCCCCAGCTGTCATAAATCAAGGTATTTAAAAAGAAAGCAAAAGCCTGAAAATGTTCCTTTCTTCCCCTAACAACACCTGCTGTTGTAGTAAATTCAGGCCAACCTTTGGAATTATTCTTTAAAAGGGTCAACAAAAGCCCAATTCTCTGTGCTACAGAGAACACTTAGCAACACTGCAGAGTGGGTGAGGGATTTAAAAGAAGGGCCACTTTTCTATAACCAAACTTAAGACAACTAACAAAGTAGAAAATATACTTTCCATTATGTACCAAATATTCAGGAGATGAGTTAGTGCAAAAAAAAAAAAAAAAAAAAAGGGGGATGTGTACACCAAGACCTGGGTTTAATTCTTCAGTAGCATTTTGTTATATAAAGAGCATGTGTAAAACACTCTAAACCTGCCCCTCCGAATGGATTAAAATGATTTTTATCTATGCAGAAAAAGGTTGCTGACCAAAGGGAAGTCTCAGATCCCACTGAAAATCTGTTCAAAGTTTCCCTTCGCCCCAGGCAAATGCATACACGTGAATCTGTGTGCACTTCCTTGGGGGCCACACACACCTTCTGATGTCCAGTCACCAGGCTCAGACGCCAGGCTCTCCACATTCCCAGGAAGACCTGAAGACTGAACCAACCTCCCATCCCTGCAGTCTGTATTATCCTACAGAGTCAGGGAGGGACACAAAACCAAACAAACCAAACCAGAATCAATTAAAAGTAAGAAAAACAATTTTCTTCCAAGAGCAGTTTTTCACTTATTTGCCCTTGGAAGAAAGAACATCCCAATCTCTAGTTGCTTCTATTAAATGCCGTTGGCCATGACTCATCCACTCCTCCTGGTCTTCGTAGAGCCGTCCACAAAACCAGCACTTAAATATACACTGTGATGAGTCATCGGGCAAGGAATCCACCACCTGGTAGTTGTTTTTATGAACTTTTTTAAGTTTCATTTTCAACATCATTTGCCTCTTTATCTGATTGGCTTCCTCCACATTCTGGTAGGTCAGCCGGACATGATGCCGCCTGATGCCTAACTGACACCTAGTCCTCTCTGATAGGACCACTTTGAGGACGTTGCCTTTGTACTTGTTTATTACCTTCATCACATTGGATACTTCTGGTGAGTCGACATCAGGATGGTTTAACACGATGACAGGCTGGTTCCGACGGGGGCATTTGATCAACTGGTCTGGTTTAGCTGCTATCAGTCGAAGTTGTCTTGCAACCTGAAAAATGGAAGGATCCTTGAAACAGCGGCTGGGATCAGCCTGAATTTTGCTTTTCTTCTTGGATGAATTGACTTGTTTGGTTTTATTTTTACTTACAGGAAGACCTCTGGAAAACAGTTTCCCTTGCTTACTTATCTCACTGCTTCCTTGCTGTCCATGCAGGAGTCCAGTTTTTTTAAGCATGGTGCTACAATTTGCACTCTCTTTTCTTGATTTAGCCCAAAGAGATAGATCATGATTCTGGGACATGTCTACTGGCCCACTTTCACTTGTTGAAGACTGTAAGTCCAAGTCTGTCTGTTTCACTGGGCAGAACGGAATGGGTTTTATTAACTGTGTCTCACTGCAGGGGATGCTGACAGGTGCTTCACACGTAGCCTCTATAACGTGGGAATTCTCAGAGGAATTAAGAACCCTCAACACAGCCCCCTTCGGGATCAATACTGGAGGAGCCAAATGTGGCTTCCTGGCTACTCCGCTTTCGCTTTTCCCACTGCTGCCTTCTACAAGATGCGGATATATCTGCTGATGAGTAAGCTGTCCATTAATACCAACGTCATCCTGAGGTTTCGGGAGAGTACCCGCAGAATAGCCAGTGCTGGTAAATGACACGTTAATTTCCTGAATACTTTCAGAGGCAGCTTTCGAAGTGACCTTAGATGCCTTCCCTACAGAATGACGATGTGCATTACTTGCAGCCAAAGATGAAGGCTTGCCACAGGATTCAATTAACTGGGCTATCTTTCTGCGCAAGAGTTCAATTGACTTTATTTTGGACGTTGAACTATTCCACTTAACGCCCTCAGGGACGTTTTCAGATCCAGAGCTCAGAGAAAACACTGATGAGATGACTGGGCCTTCAAAGGAGTCATTAGCCTTTTCAGAATTCTTTAACTCCAAAGGTTTATCCCCAGACTGCTGAGATCTGATTCCATCTTTTCCCGTTACGTTTATGTGTAAATACTCACTTTTATGTTGAGAGGAAATCTGGCCAGTATTTGAAACTGCCTTGTGTTCCTGTGTCTGGTTATCTTTCAGCTTCCTATTAGGGGGAACCATTTTTGCAGGAAAACTGATCTCATTTCTAGATTCCATGTCCTTTTTACTTCGGGGCAGTGAGTCCTTTTCTCCAGAGAAGGAAATGGTTGCAGGTGATGCAGCAAGAGGAAATAACTGCTGTGAGTCACTGTGTAAATTTCTTCCATCTTCAGTAAAAGAAACGGCAGCTTTATATGGAAAAGAGTTTGACGTAGTTCCAAGACCACTTAAAATACCATTTTTCATCAGAGATGACGGAGAATGACCTTTTAAGGCAATGGAAGGAAGAGCAGTTCTTTGTGGATATGTATAACCTTTTTTCTGCAAACCCTCAACTCTATCAGGGCTGAGAAAGGATTCTCCACCACTGCACACACTAGAATTTGAGGTGAAAAAGTCATAAGACCTTACCCATTTCACATTTTTAAGTTGTTTCTGAACTGATGATTGAAGATTATTGATGCCTGCAAGTTTTCCAACATTCCCTTCGATCATCAGTGACTTTGTTTGTTCTGCAGAAGCCATTTTTTCCTGTTCACTTGAATCTTTCTCTTTAGTCACATGTTCAGAATTACCTCCATCACCCCCACCAGCGGCAAGGCAATTACTTTCTTCCAGAGGAAACAGTTTCAGCACAAGCTGCTGTGTTCCATTGACAACCTTCACATCTATCAACTGGGCTAAACAGTTTGCAGGGATGATTAGTTCTGCTGGTGCCACAACCGTTAATGGCATTCCCGGCTGAACAGGCTCTTTTGCAGGGGATAACACTTCCACCTCCACACTTTTGTTCTCAAACAGATTGACTTCATTGGGCTCTGACAGTGTCACTTTATTTGGAATGCACACGACATCTTTTTGGTACTCCTTTGATTCAGGTAATAACATTATGTTGTGCATTCTGTCTTTATTTGAATGGAGGGAGAACGTTGAAAGTTGATCTGACAAGTTATTTTGAAACGCAGTCCTTGGACTGGAAGCTTTTAAAAGCTCTGGGTTTTGCTTGGATGCACTGATTCTTTTTGGCTCCAGCTTGGCAGTGGTTTTGGGCAGCCGTTTTCCACCAGCCTTCTCGTGGACTCTCTTCCTGTGTTTGACAATGTAGTCATTTCTAATAGCACCATAGTCACAATACTCACATTGATAAGGGAAAATGCCTGTGTGTTTCACCAAGTGCCTCTGAAACTCCCCTTTAGTGTAGGAAATGTAGCTGCAGTGAGAACAAATGAATTTAATCTCTTCATGCTGAAGTGTGTGCTTTTTGTACTGCAGAGGGTCCTTCGTGGAAAATCTACATTTATCACAATAGTATTTGCCTGGCTTAAAGTTCCTTACCCTAAATTTGTTATTGACAGAACTTGAGATGGTTTCTGGTTTATTTCCTATGTGAGTAGCACTGTGATTATTCACAAAATGGAAATGGGGAGGGGCCACACCTAGGCTGCATCTGAAGCAAACATGATTGTCCTCCTTTTGGCTTTGGCCAGTATCCTTTTTCAGATCCTGAAGCGGGATCTTGTACACACTTTTACACTTTACACATGTAGCAACGGTCATCGTGGCAGCCTCTGCCTCAGAGACTTGATACAAAAGAGTCTGAGCTTCTTGTCTATCTGGGCGAGTCGCTCGATTAGCATTAGGCTGTTTGGGCGACATGGTCAGGGAACTGTGTCCGGCATCCACTTGTGTAGTCCACAGCTGCTGTCCACTATCCTTCATCTTCTTCATCTGCATTTCTAAAAAGAGGCCACTGAAATCCAGAGTGACATGATAAAACTCTCAGGAAGCATCCTTCAGTATACTTTGTAGCTGGCTTCCCAGGAACGTTTTATCTTTTTTCATAAACCAACACAGTAGGTCATGATCCCAAAATATGACTTTCCAATTCCCTGATATTCCAGGCAACACTAAAGGGGAAAAAAAGATATCACAAAGCATCATTAATAAATGAACTTAAGGTTTAGCTAATGTATTTCCAAACTTACCCTATATTTCAATGATCTTGGGGATTTTATGCTAAATCTTGACCTACTATCTTGAAACACATGTCGACAGTGATACACAGTACAACAGAACTGGCAAATAACCAGCTTAAACTGAAAACATTTTCAAACTCCGCCCCTCTAAAGGTCATTACTTTAGGCCAACCATAAACATAGATAAACTGGGGTAATCATAGCAGTCATTCAGAATAGCCTTTGCTGAGTGAGTTATTTTTAAGGGTCACTGAGAGCATTCTAGCAACTTCACAGGTATAATTTCATAACAGCCTCACTAAAACCTTAGGAGGCTGGCATTTTAGTTTCTAAACACACAAGTTAACCAGTGGTAGAGCCAGGGCTCTGGCTCAGGTGTCCATTTGTTTCTATGTTACGGGGTGGATCCCAACTCTCTCTCTCATGTGTCCCATTTGCTTTCACAAGTGGTAAGAAGACAATACTATCCTGACAATACTAGGTAGACAAATACTTATTCCTTCAACATCTTACTGAGCATATATCAGGTGTCAGGCACTGTTCTAGGCGCTACAGGGCAGTGACCAGAAGCAAATCCATCCCTCCCCTCACAACGGTACAGAGAGGGGAGACAAACTGTATATTTATTTGGCAGACGGTGGTAAGTGACTGGGGAAAACAAACCATAAAGCCAGGCAAGGGGGACAGGGCGTAACTATGTGATGCAATTGTAGGGCTGGGGCGTGGAGAGTCAGGAAAGGCCTCAAGAGAAGCTGGTGTTGGAGCAGAGACCTCGGGGCAGCCTGGGAGGAGGGTGTTTCAAGCTGAGGGAGGGTGAAGCTCTGTGGGAAGTGGGCCTGGAGCACTTGAGTAACAGCAAGGAGGCCGAGGCTGGGGGGCAATGAGCAAGAAAGGGCGGAGGGTACTGGTCAGGGGAAGATCTATGGTGCAGCATCATAAGGATGTGGCTTCTCCCTACGTGAGGAGGAGACCCGGGGAGAGACTGGAGCAGCAACAGAACATGACATGATCTGATCTATATTCCAGCCACTGCCTCCGGCTGCTACAGGGACCAGAGTCTCAGAGGGCAAAACCATGGCAGCAAGGACACAGGGGAGGGAGGAAGGCGGCCTGGAATGCAGCTCCTGTTTTCTAGAGCCAATACCACAAAATGTGTAATGCAGTGATTTTTACATAAAAACAGGTAATTATCTGTAACTATGCATTCTTTTTTCAGAATACACAGAACTAAACAAAAACCATTCCAGTTTGGGACCTGCTAAAAGCCTTTCTTTTATGACCTTAAAAAAACCACTTTCAACCTGTTGAGCCTCAGTTTTTTCATCTGGCAATCAGAATTACGGATACTTATCCAACCTCTTCCACAGTCCTGCCATGACGACTAAAACGCTAAAGAATACAAGACAACACTTTAAAAATTTTAAAACACTTCCCTGAATGTCAAGAGGCGCACAGAGGCCTCAGTAAGTGCTTGTTCAACGATGGGCAGCGATACGAATGGGAATTAGTAGCTTCCTTCTGGCACCCTGCTAATAGGCCAAGAGCTGTACAAAGTAAGTCTGAAAGGCCGACCTGGGGGAGCAGAAGGTCTTGCTGTGGGGTGAAGAGAAACAATTATTGCGTATCCAGATCTAGCATACAACCTGCCTTTAAAAACATTTTTGGAAAGCACCGTAAGAACATACCACATTGATGACAATCTTTATCTTCTTTTGCAGTAGTATCTTTTCCTATTTTGCTTTTGCAAAAGACAGTTGCCTCCTTTCAAAAACAACTCCCAGCATGCAATCACAAGCACCTAGGGACACAATCAGACTTGCCCCACCCCAAGTGTGTATGTAAGACACACCAAGCGGGCAGAGGCCTGTGGGGTTGCAAGGTGCAAACCTATCCCCTCAGTGTTCAAACACACACCTATGCAGGGGGACTGTGCACAGGACAGGACACGTGGATGCCTCAAACTGCAAACTGAGAGCCATGGGCAAAGACAAGGACGGTCATTTTCCTCTGTACTCCTGGTACATATACAGCAGGCAGAGCTTTCAAATGAGTCACTGGGAGAAGCTGACGCACTTCACTTTTTGGATTTGTAAACTGGCTTTAGTGAAAGGAGACAGAAGTGATACCCAGAACTTCTGCACTAATGAAGTGACCTCAAGCCAGCCACCCATTTGTATCTGCTCACTCATCTATGCTCACATAGATGAATGCTTAGCCCTGAAGTTGCAGACTTCTTATCATCTAAAAATGCTACTATTGTCAACATGTTCAAGTTGGCATCTCCATCCTGCTAAAATAGAGGAAGCAATGGCTGCAACCAGAGCCTAAGAAAACCACTGGCCCAAGGAATGCAGAGGCTGAAAAGAGGCTTTAAGGGGATCTGGTCCAGTGGTTCCTGAATCTGGAGGAGCTGCAGAATCAGAGCTAAAATAGACATTCTTGGGCTTCATCCCAAAGCTCATGAATCTAAATCTTAGTGGGAGAGGGAAGGAGAAGAGACATTTATGGTTTGTAAAAGGACTCCACATAATTCTGATGAAAAGCCAGAATCAGAAATCACTGGTTGAAACTTCCAGCAACATTTCAGTCCTTTAAAACATCTTCACCAGTTGGTCAGGCAGCTGATGCTCTAATACTGCCATGAGCCAAACTCCTTCTCTCTTCGGGCAGCTCATTTTATTTTCACATAGTTATCACTGTCCAGAATTTACCCTTAAATAAAACTGAAACCAACCTTCCTGTAACTTCCTTATATCCTGACCTTGGAGCTACAGACAACTTAACCCCTGATAGACCAGTCATTAATCTGCTCCTTTCCTGTCTCAATTCTGTTCACAAGAGGTGCGTGTCAGCCGATATGTACATATCTGGTCTACCAGCCTCACAACCCTGAGGGAGGACAGAAAAGAAGGAAGAGAAGGAGAGGTAAGAAGGGCAAGAGGGAGGGAGGGGAAAAGCAAAGAGCGGGAGCAAAGAGAAGAAAGAAACTTACTTGCCTGGTACAACCTGCTTACCAACTCTTTCAAAAAAAAATCACAAAAGGCAGTTTTGCCATTTTCTCTCCAAATCCTTTTAAAACTTGGAGGTGTCATTCCTCCTGGAACTGAAGACTTGAAATCTCAGACTGAACGATAAAGTCACAAACCTTAGCAAGCAGAGGAGAGCGTGCTGCTGGAGGAGGGCTCTCTCTAGAGAACTAACCAAGCCCGCCTGGTGCCTCAGTGATGCAGAAGCCTCCTGGCGGGGCTTCTGCAAAACCATCTCAGCACTTACTTTGAATTAGGAATCCACAGAAGCAAGTGTCAGTATGAAGCATGAGGCTGTGATTAGCAAATGCAGTTTAATGGGGAGGCAAGACACTAGGCCATGACCCGATTACGTCACCTGTTTGAAAGTGCCTTCTTGACTTTTAAACCATTCTCAAAATAACGCAGGTTTCTACCTTGGTACTTCCCTCCGTCCAGGTGACAAAGATGTCAGGCTTCTTCAAAACAAGCAGACAAAGTTCTCTTTGGCTACTGCAACATGTGGAGCTAGTTGTGGGTGAAAAGGATCTCAGATGTAGCACCCCAAGACAGCGGTAAATGGACGCAGTGGCACAGAACTCAGACGGCTTTGATGTTGGCATTTATACTTGGACACTCCTGAGGCTACACTAAGTACACCTGAGTAAATGGGCTCCCAAGACCTTGTTCCCTCCATACACCTTTCTCTACCTGGTTCACATTCAGGTACAACCACCTGTGAAGCTGGGTCCTCTTGGCAGATTACTGTCCAGTGGACTGATGACCAAGGATTACATGAAACACTTGTAGATAAAGGGCCGTGTGTGTGCCAGGTGCTGGGGGCACTAATCAAGCAGGATTAACACCAGTGTCGGTGATCACCTACCTTCCACACTCACAACACCTGTTACAAAACCTCTGCATCTGACCTCCTAGAACTAGAGAGGTACATTTTTCAAAGTTCATTTAGGAAGGTTCTCGAAAACACAGAAAATACTTAGTATTATTAACTCTGGACACAATAATAAAATAGCTACTTAATGTTAAGTTGTCTGCTTTTAAAGAGCAAAAAGTGAGCTTTTTAACGCAGAATTATCTCCAGCATCAGACAAAGGCGGCTTCCACACACAGAGAGGAGGGGCACAATGTGTGACAAATGTGCTTCCTCTAGACTGAGTCTTGTCTTTTCTGGAGAAAAAGCCTAAGGGCAGCATCCACTACTGGTGGGTTTTCCTTCTGACTCTGAGTTCACTTGACCTGGTTTCTTAAAAATTTATCATGGGGACAGATGGAGAAAAACAGAGTTTGTTAGAAACCAGTGACATTTAGGCCTATAAAAATCATGAAGGTTGTGTAAGTTTTTATTAAAAAGGAAGTATTTGACTTCTAAATACCGAAAACATCAAGTGCTCAATAGAATCAGAAGAGCAATAAGCAGTAAAATAGTGTTTAAAGCTACAGATCGCGGAATCAGATTACAGGGTTTCAGATCCCAGTCCCATTGCTTTCTAGATGTCTGACCTGGAGCAAACCGTCTGAATCCTCACCTGTAAATGAGACAATAAGAGCACCTACCTCACAAGGTTGTTGCGAGGATTAAATGTTACAGTGTGACTATAAGTGCTTAAATAAGTTACTTACACATAAAACTATTAAGAGTATTCTCCCTTTTTTATGAAGAAAATAGAAGAAATAATGCCTATCATATAAATAGTCCAAGGGGCTAAAATACAGGCTTCTTTGCTGCCTGGGA